AAAATTAGACATTCATTCATTATTCATGAAATAGCATTTCTATGATAACCCAACCCGTACGCTACTTAATTATACATGTGATTATATGTTTAATATGAATTTGCAAGTTTAAATATGTGAATTATGTGAATTTGGAATAATATCTGTTGAACATAGGAATATTTGTTACAATTGAAACTTTGAACTGAAATTGAAAGCCTTAGAGGCGCGATAAACAAAAACAGACTTCATATCTGTGATTAGCATGATTTATAGAGCTTACAGTGAAATTTTGAAAAATTATGATTTGTAATGATAAAATTGGAAATTTAAGAGTTAAGTCATATATGTGTTGGTCCTCTTGTGTTCTTCATCTTTGTTGAGAGCTCTAGAGAGTGAGTTAGAGAGAGGAGAAGAGGAAGAGCTAGGGATTGCAAGAGAATCAAGGGGCAAACCATAGATTTGAGTTAAGGTATGGAAAACTACTTACAATCTTTGTCTCTAACTCATCATCGTCATGAAATCAAGAAGAAATTGAGAGTTTTGAGCTAGGGTTTTGAGCTATGTAATGACCAGAGCTTAATGCATGAAATTGAATCCTAATCTCTTCATCTTTGTTTGATTTGAGTTTACTCTTGTGATTGATCACTGAAACAAACCCTAGATGATTTAGTTAGAATATTATTCATGTGTATATGTATTTTGAACTTGTGTAAATCATGAATTTGTGAAAAGATGAGACCATGAATCTAATGGTGACGCAAGATTGATGTATGTAATGTGAAATTATACCTAAATCATGCTTATATATCATGTTTTGAGTGAGTTTTGCTTTGATTTGCGCTTGGAAATGAGTTTGCAAGGTTTGCATTTTTGAGCAATTTTCGGACTGCCTGTGTGTACCCAGACCGCTCGTACGGCCACGGGCACCGCACGAGCGGCCCATGCCTTGAACTAAAAATGGGTCTCACTTTGCGCTCGAGCAGCTGCAATTTCCACACGTGCGAAGCCAGATTGTTCGAGCGATTAGACTGGCCGCAAGTGCGGCCAAGCAGGGAAAAATCTGTGTTGTTTTATGTTATTACTCCTGATCTCCGGAACGCATTTCCAACCTTATTTAAACCCTTTTGGGAGTGAAATGATGATTAGAAACCATTGAAAAAGGTTGTGAATCGCTAAAAGAAAAGTGTATATAATGAACGAATTATTTATCGAATATGTCTGTGGCATGTTTGATGTAGATCATGTGCCAGAGGAAACACCACAAGATCGATCCCACTGTGAGTAATAATATCATACATATATGTTCTTTATTGTGTACTGTGAACGGTGATGGTGCCGACATTGTGATTTGTTTGAAATATGTTGGGCCCGAGGCCGTTTTGTTATATGTTGGGCCCGAGGCTGCTTGAAATGTGCTTGGGCCTAAAGCCGTTTTGTTTATACGATTATGGATATTGTGAGAATCTTATGATTATCTATTTACACTATTTTACTATATTATTACTCATGGAGCTTCGCTTAGCCAATTTTATGTATGCACATATAGGTAATCCGTAATATGGAGCACATCCCTAGAGTTAGCTTCAGGAGCTATTCTTTTGGGACCCAATCGAGCCATGCCTCCGAGATGGAGTTTTGTCTTTGACTCACATCATACTGTGACTTTATTTTGTTTTGCTAATGTGGTCTTGGGTTTGTAAACATTATGCACAAATTTCCTTTGATACTTATATTCTTTTGCATGGGCATGTAAATGATGAAATTGTATTACATTTTGCTCATATTGGCATAGCTCAATGGAGTTATTCTTTTGTTGTATACTTCCGCTTTCGGCCCCATTACTGTAATTACTCTGTATGTTTATTTGAGGCCGAAGGTAATCAAGTGATTACCGGCCAGTTATGACCTAAACTTTTAGGGGCGGGTTCAGGTCATAACATCAGAGCACGAGTTAATATCTCACACACGAGCCCATGTGAGCAATAAGAAGTCTACGAAGGGTTTAAGTTGCATCCATAATGCATTCATAATCAGGTATGGCATGAAACTATGCATTTGTAAATGTAACTTATGTGTATATTATCTGTGAAAGTTATAATGTATGTTCCTTTAGATCATGGTGAGAACAAGGGCAGAAGATGGGAAGGATTCAACCTCTGCACGACTTGATAGAATAGAGGCAATGATCATGGACATGGCAGAGGCCTTTAGGCAACAACAACAACAGCAATAACAACCACCACCGCCACCAATGCCTGTGCCACCACCTATAGTGCAAGACCACCAAGCCAACGACCGAACTATTACTCTCACAAACGAATTTGAAAAGATGAAACAGCCATCGTTCAAGGGAGGAATTGATCCACTAAAGGTAAAGGTTTGGGTTCTTGGTATCGAGAAATTGTTTAAAGTCTTTCCATGCACAGAAGCACAGAAAGTCTTGCTTGCCACTTTTATACTATAGGATAAGGCGTGCCGTTGGTGGATGTTTATCCGAGAAGAACACCAAGGAATGAATTGGGCTCAATTTTTGGATGTCTTCTATAAGAAATACTGCCCACAGAGTATCCAGGACAGGAAGGTGTTGGAGTTTGAGAACTTGAAGCAAGGGAACAAAACCGTAGCGGAGTATGAAATACAGTTTACCGAGTTAGCCCATTTCGCGCCACATTTGGTCGATACGGACTACAAAAAGGCAAGGAAATTTGAGGGAGGTCTTCGAGACTCCATTCTTGAGAAGATTAATGTGTTGAAGGTACAGAAATATGTGGATGTATTGGATAGGGCCATCATAGTGGAAGGTAACCAAGCCAATCGTAAAACGCCAGGGCAACGGGAATGCCAATGAGCGACGAGCTCAATAAGATACTACAACCCGAAAATACCCACCCCGATAATAATACTCACAATTAATGAATAATGTGCAGTAACAAAATAACAATTAGCATTTAATGAGCATAACATGAATGATATCAGTTGAAATAATAACAATAGATAATATAAAATAAAATAAAAAAATGGCAAATGGAAGGCAGTATTTCATCATAAGGAAAAATGCCCTTTTTTCTTTTTAAATTCTCATAGATTTAGTTTATCAGATAAGTTTAAGTAACTTCCCGTGGAGCACTATTTCCACTCAACCGCTAAGCAATGACCACGGGCAATTCTGACTCCCCCTTGGTCAAATATTCAAATGTTACTTGTTGTAACTACCAATGATGCCCACGCACCAGGGTTACGTACCCAAGTCGTGACATCACGGTTTGTCCCAAGGGAACAGTCTATGTTGTGACACCCGTATCACCAACCTCATATCGCCTACACCGATAAGAGCTGAAATACCTTCCCATGCCATGTTAGGGTTCGCAGCTCATTTGCGTAAGATTCTAAATCGGACTCACGCTATCACTTTTAAATTTTAATGTATCAGTTCAATTTCGTTTTTCTTTACTTCGTCTAATTCACATTTTCATGCATGTACGAGTTTTAGTTTGAAAACCACAGTGTCATAATGTTTATATAGCACAACACAATCATGTATGGCAACCAAAATGGATATGACACAATGTTTTAGGACTCATCACAAAATTTCTTAGGAATTCACACACTTCTTCTTTCAGCACTGTATGGTCTGACAAAAAAAAAAATGAAACGCAAACCAAACGAAGTTCAACTATAGCGATCCCGGGTTTACCCTTCGTTGTATCAGTGATCCGGACATGTGTCCGTGGAGTTCGTAGGTTGTTTATTTATTCTTGTTTGCATCCTTTTATCTTCTGTATTTGAGTTATAGGATTGTGTTGGGTCAGGTTTGTTATAGGTTGTTGTGTTTGGGAGCCCTTAGTGTTTTGCTGCCCAGTATTTTTGGGACTTGCGCTCGAGCGTGGCGTTGGTCCTCGAGCGGAGCGTTGGTCGCTTCGAGGCGATGAGTTGAGTTCGTGTCTGGTAGGTCGAACGCCAGAGTGGCTTCGCTTCGTAGCGATGCGATGGCGTCTGGTTTCTGGACTCGTGATAGTTATATTTCATTGGCTCGAGCGGCGTCTGGCCTGTTCTTCACTCTGACTAGATCGGGTAGTCGCTCGTGCATTGTGGCCTCTGGTTGCAGGCTGAAAGCGGCTTCCTGAGTTTGTTGGCTCGAGCGAGCATTCTTTCGCTCTGAGCCACTTCTTGAGTTTTATTGGGCTCGAGCAAGAACTTATTGGCTCGAGCGGATGAGTTTTTGTGTCTGGTACGCTCGAAGCGATCACAAGGCTTTTGCTCAAGAGCAGACGTGTTTTCATATCAGCGACAGTACGCGTTTTGAAATCACTTTCTTCACTTTCTTTTTCTTTCAAACCCAGATCCGAGACCCCTCCTTCTCTAACTTACACTCTCTCTAAGATTTATACTCCCTAGAGCTTGTGAATCTAGCCCTAAGTGCTTTTGTTAAAAAGATAGCGGCGTTGAGAGCTTGATTTAATAATCTGAAAAAATTATGATTTGAGACAATGAACTTCGAGTCTTCAATCTCCTTTTGCTTATGTAACTTCGACGGTAGGGGAATATCCTACCTCTCTATGGTTTTGGTCTTTTAAATTTTAAGTATTTTGAGATTGGTTGGGGTTGGTTTGGTAATTTTGTTGAAATTTGGGGCTTTTGTGTAATTTTCCAAAAGTTGGGTTTTATTTCCATAATAAACGCTAGATTGCATGTTTGGCAAGTAGGAAGGAAAAAAATACTGAAAAAAATAATGTTGAATCATTGTGAAAATGGGACCTAAGGGTTGAAATGTTTCAATTATGGTTAATGACCTAATACAGTTGTTTTGTTAATTGGGATAATTAATTGTGAGAAAGTTGAGAAAATGACTGTTGATTGAATATCCATTGTGCATTTATTTTCTGTTAATTAGTATATATAACTGTTTGGGCTATTTGTGTGGAGGGATAGTCGGATGTGTATTGAAATGCATGATGATAGGCAATCGAAAACTAATCATGGAAATGTGTATGAAATTTGAACGGTTGTAGAATACATTAACTGTATGTATTGATATTTATTATATAGATACCCATATGTGTTTGTAATACGTTATGTGTTAGAGGGATGAGATGGGGGATGTACTCCGCGGTTTAGGGGTAGATAGGGGAATGTATCTCTAAACCGGATAGTGTTTGAGTAGAGAAGATAGGGGATGAACTCCGTGATACAGCTCATCATGCTTGTCTAGAGATAGTGAAGATAGAGCTCTATGCTTATCTTTGTGGAATGTGGATTTATTAGCTTATATGTCTTATCTGTGGATATTTGCTATAAACATATATGTTGTAGAATGTGGATATGTAGCTTTATTTGCTATATCTGAGAATGTGGCTATTGTTGTTTATACATGATCTGTTTAGAATGTGGATGGTGCTTAATATGGCCTATCCGTTGAAAAAGGAAAATGAAAGGTAACTTGGACTCGTAAGTCGTATGACATAAATAATGGTGATTTGTGAATGTATTCAGTGTTGGCCATGCCTTATCAGTATGTGCTAATATTTTAGTCATTTGTTCATGGTTGGTTTAGTGTATTTCTACTGGGCTGGTGGCCACCCTATATGGGAATATCATTTTCAGGTACAGGCTAGCTAGTTGCGCACGCTCCAAGACATCGCTTGGAGGTCTTAGAGGCGGACATACTATTGTCGTTATCTTTTTTGGATGTATTACATTATTTCAAAGCGCAAGGGCTTAATGTGTAAACGAGTTAGAATCTTTTGTTGTAACCAAGGTGTTTAACTTGGAAAGATCAATCCCGTAAGGCATTTTGCTTTTGTTGTTAACATGTAATAACTTTTGTATGAAACTCCTGATGTATATAATGGAAGAACGTGAGCTTTTACATATTAAATTGCATATGGTTCATTGTTGGGGTTTATATGTTTATTTTGAGGGGTTAACATCAACGATTACAATATTTAACTTGGTGCTATTCTCGAGTTAGGGCAAAATATTTTGAAGAAGAATACACGACCAAAAACGATTTTTAAAATGGAAAAATAAATTTTTGACAGAAATTGAGTTTTTTTTTTTTTTTTTTCTTCTGGGAAGTGAGTATTTGTTTCCCAGCAAGGTGATCTTTGTTTGAAAAATAAAAAGAAGGCTCAAACGGTGTCAAAAAGAGGTTATGGTCATAACGGTTTACTAAGATATTTGAGTTTAGAACATATTCCAGAGAGTGTTGAAAGATTGAAACCCAATGGAAGATGGTAATAATTTTTTTCTAAGAAAACTGGGATAGATTCTGTCACATTTTTGGAAAATTGACGTTTCTGTACGGGGAGGAATAATTCTCCTCGTATAATCCTGTGACAAATCCACGCTGCCTCGTAGGACGTCGCTTTATCACGTGAAAACACAAACGTGAGCTTAGCGGCGGGTGTGTGCCGGAAACCTCTCGATTGCCTAACGTTAGTAAGCTTGACAAAATAGACAAAGTTTTATGCTCTCAGAAAGAATGTGTTCAATTAACGTCCTTCAATTGGGTGGTTGCTGGTGAGCTTTATAAGGTTTCGATGGCATAATCCTAGTAGTGATTTTATTTCTCCATGCAGAGTCCTCCTAGGATTTCATATTCTAAGGATAATGCTTATCCTTTTTACACCCTCCCCCATGCTTTGAAACCAAGTGGGATGGTTTTTTACACCACGGCCTGAACTTCTATGTGACCGAAATACACTGGCTATTGTGAGCACAGAGTAGGCCGAACTATCCTTAGTTCGATTTTTCTCCCGTTCAACCATGGTATGCTGAGACCAGCTTCTGAGTAACAAGCTCCGAGCCGATCTAACATAATACACCGCAACCGAACTATACTTTGAGAATTTCGGACTAACATCAAGTTACTCCAGACCGGAGTAGCTTTACACCAATCTTGGGCCGAAGCAATTCCTTTCTCCTTAACCGGAGTAACATCTTCTCCTGGGTCCGGTGTAAACTATGCTTCTTTCTGGGCCGGAATATCATTACGGCCTTTTACTGTGTCTCACACTTTGGCCATAAAGTCCGTCTACAGCTACCGGTTTCAATTCTCTCAAAAATTACCCTCTCAGTTTCTCTCTCTAATGCTAATAAGAAATTTATGACCAAGCGGATATTTGAAAGGTAACTTAAAAATCTAACTTTTCTAAATTTGAATCACTTTGATAAATTCATTCTGTAAAATAAACGGCTGACCTGGTAAAGTCAGCATTGCTACTGCCTCTAATACAGCAATGAGTTAAAAATGTTGTTTGGCCACTGATACAGTTGTCAATAATCCTTTCGATATTCTAGCACCAGTGAAAAATATGTTAAACTAACATCCAGTAGTTTCAGTTATTTTTATGTAAAGTGTTCTGCATGAGTTTGTTTGGGTTTATTTCAAATCAGATTAGAAATCTGTTTTTGCTAAAAGTTCATTAATTTTGTGAAAAACATATGATGATACATCTTTGTATTCATCATAAATCATACGTAAGGCCATAAAAATTATTTCTGCTACTTATCCCTATGTGAAAGCTCTAATCTTCATATTTACTTTCATTAGTGGTGACAAAGAATGATGAAAATAATATTTATAAGTTTTGGGCTTTCTAATCAAAACACTTCCCTGAGGGCTAGGTCCCTTCACTTTTGCCATTTCTTTCATCTTCTCTTCTTGTGTTCTTGCTGTTTCGTGGTTCTTCTTTCAAAACAGTTTTCATCTTCAGTCCCTTCTTCTTTTAATCTGGTAAGCAAATCCACTTTTCCCTTCATGTTTTTGCTTTTAACATTTTGTTTTGATGCAACTGTATATCTTGTTTCGTATGTTTTTTGCAAACCATTTTCTTTCATTTTTGATGGCTTCCTTTTGGTACTTTCACGAAAAACAATAGCAGGAGCTTAATATATGCATGAACTTCTGTAAAACATTGCCTTAGATCCAAATACTAGGGTAGCAACCGAAACTATGGATCCTGTTTTGCCCAAATAGGTAGATCACTATAGCAAATAACCGAACTAGACTTGAAAGTCTCATAAACAGTCACGCAACGCCTGACTCACTTTTTGCCGAAATAATCACCCCGAGTTTTTCGAACATATCAATTAGGAACCTTCGGTTTTCAACCCGGAACTAAGCTTTTTGGGCCTAAGCCAGCTTTCTTAGTTTCTAAACCGGAGACTCAGAAAGCTGCCCCTAGAGGCCTTAACCGAAATAACTTTATTCACCACTGCACCGATTTAGGCCTTGGGGCTAAACGCAGCTTTCTTTAGTTTTTTAGAACCCGAAACTCAAGAAAAGCTGGCCCTAGAGTTAACCGTCTACCCGAGCAACTGCCCAAACGAGCTACCAAACCTTTTGATGAACTCAAGATAGAACCAAGTTTTTGAGGCCGAAGTAGGGCCTTTTTATCCTTGCTTTTAAATGTGCACGGTCCATTGATCAGTGCTTTAACCCCCTCTGTTTTTTTACTTTGCAAAACTTAGGTTACCCAAGGCACTCCTGCGTGCGCTCAATCCGAGCTACTGAGCACGATTTTTGCACCGATATAAATTATAAGTAAATTTTCATCAGATTGGCAAGTATAGGTATCTATGTTGAGACCCCTGGTGGCATGTGCCGAATTTAGGAAAGATTACCAATTCCTGATGACGTCCATCTGACGCTGGCCAAAAAGATGTTATTTCCTTGGGAAAAATGAAGGCTTCGTCCCTTTTACCTCCAATCCATAATAGAAATCCGACTACGGGTTTCCTGTCCAACCGTTGATCTGCGAATTTTCTTAGGCAGACTAGATTTAGCCCACCCAATCTGTCCACCAGATACATCGCATCATAATGGGAAATAGCCGCACTGAACCACAAACCGGGACTGAACTCGGCCTGGCCGAAATTTCCATCAATATCCTCGGCTAAAAATGCTGGGTGGGTCTATTGCCTTAGATTCGCCGCGCCGAGAGAAGATAGTTAAAAACAATACCGGAACAAAAATCTTAACGACGATGATTTTTTCTGGTCTCTGGGAACTTTGAGGATTTTCAAGCCCAAATTCCCTGGCCGATCCTATAATTGGAAAAAGGGAGAGCCCTGGTAATTTAACTTCGGGTCTTCTTTCCTTGTATGTTTATTTCGGTTTTTTTAGTCATAGCCGAACTAAACTTCTCTTTTGCAGATTTTGCTTCACCTCGTTCCCTATACAGCTATCCCAACCTTGCAATTTTTGCGAGCCGCACTACGGTGTAAAGAGGAGTTTGGGCCAAACTTCTAAACTTTGAACCGACCTACCGATATAGCGTCGTCGGAAGGCTCGAGTGAACCGATTGTCCTTCTCGAGGAAGCACAGAATCCGGACCCAACCTTACCCGATTAATACGCATTGTCCCATTAACTGCTAAAGAGAGATGGCATAAGAAAAAGCAAAGTTAGGGCCCTTCTGACCGCAACAACA